TTGATCATTTGTATGTCTTCCCCGGAGAATTGCTTGCTTAGTTCTTTTGCCCAGTTTTGGATTGGATTGCTTGTTTTTTTCTTATTAATTCATACGAGTTGCTTCTATATTGTGGAGATCAAGCCTTTGTCGGTTTCATTTGCAAAAATTTTCTCCCGTTCTGTAGGTTTTCGTTTCGTTTTCCTTATGATTTCCTTTGTTGTGCAGAAGCTTGTAAGTTTCATTAGGTCCCATTTGTTTATTCTTGCTTTTATTTTATGTTGCTTGAGTCGAGTGCCATAGGAGAACAGTTTTGAGATATATGTCAGATAACTTTTTGCCTATATTTTCTTCTAGGGGTTTTATTGTGTCTTATCTTATGTTTAAGTCTTTGATCCATTTTGAATTTGTTTCTGTGTATAGTGTGAGGGACTGTTTTTGCTTCATTGATTTACAGGCTGCTATCCAGTATTCCCAACACCATTTGCTGGAGAGACTGTCTTTATTCCATTGTCTATTCTTGCCTCCTTTATCAAAGATTAGTTGACCAAAAGTTTGTGGGTTCATTTCTGAGCTCTTTATTCTTTTCCATTGGTCCATTTGTCTGATTTTGTACCAATACCATGCTGTTTTGATGCCTGTAACTCTAAAGGATTGTCTGATGTCTGGGAGGGTGATTCCTCCATCATCTTACTTTTTCTTAAGTAATGCTTTGGAAATTCTAGGTCTTCTATGGTTCCATATAAATTTGATTATGATTTGTTCTACTTCTATGAACTGTGTCCTAGGTAATTTGATAGGGATTGCATTAAATGTGTAGATTGCCTTGGGCAGTGTGACTATTTTATAAAAATGGAAAGACATCCCATGCTCCTGGATTGGAAGAATCAATATTTTAAAATAGTCTTATTTGATTTCTTTAATCAGTATTTTCTAGTTCTCCATGTGTATGTCTTTCACCTCCTTGCTTAGTTTTATGACTAGGTCTTTTATTACTTTGGGTGTTATTTTAAAGAGGATTGTTTATTTACTTACTTGTCCTTTTGGTTCATCATTAGTGTAAAGAAATGTAACTCATTTTTGTACGTTAATCTTGTAACCTGCTACCTTGCTGAATTCTTCAGTTATTCCTAGTATTTTTTGTGTGGACCTTTTAGATTTTTCTATTTATATTATCATCTCATCTGCATATAGTGACACTTTTACCTCTTCTTTTCCGATTTTGATCCCTTTTATTTCTCTCTCATGCCTGATTGCTGTGACTAGGTCTTCCAAGACTATGCTGAATAGGAGTGGTGATAGTGGGCAGCCTTGTCTTGTCCCAGACTTTAGTAGGAATCTTTTAAGGTCTTTACTGTTGAGTATTATGCTGGCTGTCAGTTTGTCATATATAGCTATTATAATGTTGAGATATATTCCCCCTGTACGCACTTAGCTGAGAGTTTTTTCATAAATGGGTGTTGAATTTTATCAAATGCTTTTTCTGCATCTATTGAGATGACCATGTGGTTTTTGTCCTTTCTCTTGTTGATCTGATGTATTACATTGATTGATTTGTGTATGTTGAGCTACCCTTTTGTGTTTGAATTAGAGAGGTGGCAAATTGTGTTGGGTAACTCTAGGGAATTTTTAGAGCAAAAAGATGTCTTCAGGTACTTTTCCATCCCTTCTCCACTCTTTCTTGTGACTTCCTACTCCTCAGTCTTCAAATCTAATTCATTCTGGCTGGGCCCTTGTGTATATGAGTTCATTTCTCTTTCTTTCTGATAAGATTAGTCCCTGCCATGTGATCTCTCTCTCTGAATATTTGCACATTCAGACGTGCTCACAGCAGGCCTCTGATGATGTGTTAATAGAGATATGGGCTTCCTGGTCCATAGTATTAGGTCCTTCAGGACAAAGACCAAATTAGAGCATTTAGCATGGTTCTGGGAATGATACAAGCATTCCAGCATCTCAAAGAATGCATCTTTCTTTGTCAAACCTGTTATTTGCATACTTAATTCAATTCACATGTGCAACTAATATATAATTCTGTTGTTCTATGAAAAATAATATCAATAAAATGAAAGAACAGTAACATAAGTAGAACTAGCCTTTTGAAAGAGAACAGAGTAATATATTTGTTCTGGATTGTAGAATAAACAAGTGTAACCTCAACTCATGCTCGTTAGGGTAAAATTTTAATTCTTATTTAGTCCCATGCAGGGAGTAACTGTGACTGACACTCACTAATGATTCCTGGGACTCAGCTATGCATTGCTACTGATTTGTTAATAACGATTTTCTCATTTTATGCAGCTTTCTCCAGCTCTGCATCACAATTTGAAAAGAAGGGTTATAGAGAGATTCAAGAAAAACCACTTCAGCCAGCAGAGTAACCCTTGCAACTTGAAATCTGAAATTAAAAAGGTATAGTGCTCTACATACAGGAATTCTTCTTTGGCTACCAAACAAAAACACATCGTAGGAATTAATGTGTCTTCCTCCTGAGCTTTTGTCCTCTGTTTAAGCTCTGCCCACTATGAAAGGGCATTGTCCATGGTTTTCTTAGTCCATTTGGGCTGCTATAGTAAAAATACCATAAGATGGTGTGTTTAGAAACAGCAGAAACTTATTGCCAACAGTTCTGGAAACTGGAAGCCCAAGATCAGGGTGCCAGCATGGTCGGGTCTGGCGTGGACCCTCTTCTGGGTTGCAGACTGCTGACTTCTTTCTGTGTCCTTACATGGGAGAGGAGGCAAGGGAGCTCTCCCAGGCCTCCTTTTATGGGTATTTTTAAAAATAGGACCACTCATATAAGGACTTTATCCTTCTGGCCCAATTTACCTCCCAAAGGGCCCATCTCCCAAAACAATCACCTCAGGGATTAGGTTTCAATATACAACTTCGGGGAGGACACAAACATTCAGACTGTATCATCGCTTAAGATAGTAAATCAAGGCTATGCCTTTTCCTCTAATTTTCTCACCTTCATTTCTGAAGCCATCAGTCTCAGAAGAGTAATAGAAATTTCTTTAAATATGATTGTATGTTTTCCTAAAAAATGTTATTAAATATCTCTAAGTGTGTGTGTATATATATACATTTTATATATTATATATGTAATTTAATATCTCATACACAAACACACACACAGACACACACACACACATATTAGACAGTTCTAGTCCAATCGTTATTAGGATATTCTTCAACAAACCCCTGAGTTGAGCTTTGAAACTTGCAACAAGTCAACTAACATCTGAGGCCATGATTTTTCTCAGCTATGAGGATGGAATGAACCATTTCTAAGGTTCTTTCCATAATCGACATTCTGCAGTCTCCTAGACTGTGAGTGCTGTTAGAGATTTCTATTCTTAGATAAGGAAACTAACTCACCAGCATGTTAAACCAACCAGGCAGAAGGAAAATTGCTTATCTCTGGTTATCACAACTTGGTGACAAAAGTCCCTTTACCCTGTTTGACAGCTGTAGGAATACAGGATCATCTTTGCTTTCAACCTGTCTGAAAGTCAGGTTCAGTTAGCCGCTGAAGGATGCTCTGCCCCATTGATATTTTAAGCCATGGTGGTTTATGCCCTTATGAAACCCTACGATCATGGAGGCAGGCCTCGCCTCGTGTGAGCTAAAGAGAGCTTCTGCTTGACATATTAACTAGCTCCTTCACTGAAACTTTGTTTCCTCATCAAGAATAAACTCCCCTTTCTCTATGAGTTTTCACTCTTACTGTTGTTTTAAGTAGCTCATCATTCAAACAGACTCGCATTACTGTTTCTCCAAAGGTGGTGAATGTGTCTTGTTCATCTTTCATTCCCCAGGGTCGTAACCAGTGCCTGATAGTTGCCTGATGGTTAATATTGTTGAGTATCAAATATATTCTAGGTTGGTGCACCTGCACGCTGTCTTACATGGACTATGCTGGTTCTATTCTTTATTGCTATGTAGGTATTTATACATCTGTATACTTCTCCATGAGCAGAAAGGAGCCACCTTGTCCCTAGTCTGAAACCTAAATGAGGCGTTTGTGACCTGTTTTTCCGCTTTGTGATGTAATTTTAGCAGCGGGTTTTGTTCAGAAATGGCTTCTTCATTCACTGTGCCATCACAGAGGAGGGGCCCATTAGCCTTTGACTGCCACAGCCGTCCCACACCATGGCCATGGAAGCAGTAGTAAAAATACACGAACTGCACTCAGTTTCCACCTTACCCTCTGAAACTCACCCTGAAATCCAGTGACTCCGTGCCTGCAGTCTGAAGGTATTTTCATGGGATGACTATGCCTTACTTATGAACCACCTGAGACCTGGGGTATACAGATGAGCCAAAACATGGATGCGCCCTTTTCTGAAAAATGACACTCTTTAAATTTTGACTCACCTGAGGTATCTTCAGTTCAGCCTGCTCAAACTTGGCTAGAATTGCAGGAGAAATAAAGCATCTGAGTAACTGGATGGGTGTCTCTCAAGACCAGGATTTTCAACACAGGAGAGAAAAGCAGTAGAGACAAATT